AAAAACAAAAAAAGAAAAAAAGTCTCAGAATTCTATAAATTCTAACAGGTTAATAAAGGCAGTTGTGGACATCTCTTAATTTGTAGTTAGGCAGAAACTTGAGTAGATAGGCGCTACTATATTCAGATAACATATGAAGTGAAGGCAACTGTGTGGGACTGAGCTCTTGACATTGTGGGAACCTGATGCTAATTTTCTATTGGGGATTCTAGCAAACAGACTTCCTGGGAAGTCTCCTTGATAGCCACCTTTGTGGCTCACTTCTGTTGTGTCACTCAGAAATTATGGTGAAATGCAACTTTTCCTGGAGAAAAGTTAATACTGTAGGAGTGTTAAATAAGTTACACTAGGTTGCCATTTTATACCAGCTTGGATACCAGGACCCAACAATCCAGACTAAAATCTAATGGTGGTCACCATGATAAAGTTCTATGTTAGTACACCAAAACTAAATAGTTCTCTAACTAAAGAAATCAGAAGAGGGAGAGCCAAAATGTCATCAGACTAGTTTCAACTACCTGCAGTGCTTACATTGTTTGTTTTTTTGGGTCCGGTCATGGGGCCCGAACTCTGGGCCTGGGCGCTGTCCCTCAGCTCTTCAGCTCAAGGCTAGCACTCTACCACTTGAACCACAGCGCCACTTCCGGCTTTTTCTTTTTGCTTATGTGGTGCTGAGGAATCAAACCCAGGGCCTCTGGCATGCAAGGCATGCGCTCTACCACTGAGCCACCTTCCCAGCCCCAGTACTTACATTTTTTAATACTTACAAAAAGTAACAATATTAACTGATCAGTTATTTTATATTTTTGTGCCTATCTTAAAGTAACTTTGAAATGAACAGACTGCTTTTAGTTTACTTCAATCTACCTATAAAACCAATCTCTTCTGCCCAGCCAATTAGAATATTTATCTATTTAAAAATAATTTTATTGTTATTATTTACATGTTATGCAGAGGGATTACCATTTAATAAGTCAGGTAATGAGTGTACTTCTTTTTATTTTTGGACAAAGTCAACCCTTACTTTACCTTCCCCCACAGTTTCCCCCTCCCTCATCACTATCTATAAGTTACTATTTATTTATCTTAATGCCATTCAATTGTTCAATTGTAAAACAAGCCAATTGAGGAGCTGGGAGTATGGCTCAAGAAGTAAAATGCTTACTTACTAGGAAGCATAAAGGCCTAGAGTTCCTTCCTGGGCTGGCTTTATATCTCAGTCTCCCAAGTAGCTAGGTCTACCTTTTCACATTTTTGTTGCTGTTGTTTTGGTGGTTAATTGGAGATAAAATTCTTATGGACTTCTGCTGGAACTGGTTTTGAACATCCATCCTCATATCTCAGCCTCCTGAATAGCTAGAATTATTAGAATGACCTGTATATTTTTGCTTTTGTTTAATAGTTTATATAAACACTTAAGATTGTTGAAAGCCTTTGCTTAATTTCCAGGGTTCTGAAAAAGTTGACTATTATCTCCAGTTAACCATGCAAAAAGCTGAAGTGGAGCTCGGGCTAAAGTGATAAGAGTGCAAGCTTTGAGCAGAAAGAGCTCAGAGACAGTGCCAAGAGCCCTGAGTTTAAGATCTAGGACTGGAACCAAAAAAAGAAAAAGCTAAAAGACAGCTCTCAGGCCTTGAGTTCAAGACCAAATACTGGCATGCATAAATACTTATTTTTAAAACTCAGTATCCTAAGACATTTATCAAAAGTAATCCATGGCAAAAATAGTGCAGTTGCTTGACACTGTAACATCAGATAGGGGAAAAAAAAAGACAGGCCAAAACCTTAAAAGGAAAAGCTGCAAAATGAGATGTCCAATGAAGACTTAGAAATATTCCAAAATCTAAGTGGTCAGACGTGACCAGGCAAGACCTGAAAAAGTCCTAAGCACTGTCCGCTGTGAGACCTTGGGAGACCTAGCCACTGTATGTACAGGCAGGAAGGAAAGACTAAGACAGAATTGCCAACTACTAGAGGACCACAAGTGAACCCCAAGAAATATAGAGCCCCTGTGCAAAGGCTGAAAGACATTATGGTTTGAAGAAGTGTGTGTTTTTGTGTGTGTGTGCACATCTGTGCATGTATGTGCATGTGTATGCCAGTCCTGGGGTTTAAATTCAGTCCCTGAGCTCTTTTGCTCAAGGCTAGTGCTCCACCACTTAAGCCACAGCCCTACTTCTGGCTTTTTGGTGGTTACTTATAGATAAGAATCTCATGGACTTTCCTGCCCAGGCTGGCTTTGAACCACAAACCTTGAATTTCAGCCTCCTGAGTAGCTAGGATTACATGCATGAGCCATCAGTACCTCTTTTTTTGTTAAGAGGCCTTCCATTAGAGTTTCTAGAAGTCATTAGTCACTAGTCTTAGAACTGAGAAACCTTTTTTTTTTTTTGTCAGTCATGGGGCTTGAACTCTGGGTCTGGGCGCTGTCACTCAGCTTTCAGCTCAAGGCTAGTGCTCTTCCACTTAAGCTATAGTGTCACTTCCAGTTTTCTGAGTGGTTTATTGGAGATAAGAGTTTCACAGACTTTCCTGACAGGGCTGACTTTGAACCGTGATTCTCAGATACCAGCCTCCTGAATAGCTAGGATTATAGGCATGGGCCACTGGTGCCTTAGCTTCAAAAGGATTTTTTTTTTGGGGGGAGGTCCAGTTGTGGGGCCTGAACTCTGGGCCTGGGCGCTGTCCCTCAGCTCTTCAGCTCAAGGCTACTGCTCTACCACTTGAGCCATAGCACCACATCCAGCTTTTTTCTTTTTGCTTATGTGGTGCTGGGGAATGGAACCCAGGGCCTCAGGCATGCAAGGCAAGCGCTCTACCACTGAGCCACCTTCCCAGCCCCCAAAAGGATTTTTTTAATAAGAAACATTTTTAAAGTATCAAAAGACATTGAAGCTTTTGATACTTTATAACAACAGTCCCAGCAAACTAATACAGTTACAAAATAGGGTAATATCAACAAAAAAAATTTTTTTTTAAATCGGGCTGGATGCTGGTGGCTCACGCCTTATAAGGCTAGCTACTCAGGAGGCTGAGATCTGAGGGTCACAGTTCAAAGCCATCCCAGGCCAGGAAGTCTGTGAGACTATCTCTAATAAACCACCAAAAAAGAAAGAAAGAAAAAAGCCAGAGTGGCTCTGGCCCAAGTGGTAGAACACTAACCTTGAGCAAAAAGAAGCTCAGGGACAGTGCCTGGGCTCCCATTCCCTAGTGCTAGGAATCAAAACCAGGGCCCTGGACATGCTAAGTCCTCAATCCCATGTTTATAATTTCAATATAAGCAGATAAAGCATTTTAAAAATCAAACAACCACTTCTGATAATTCTCAAAAAAAAATCAGAATAGAAGGAAAATTCCCTCAGCCTGATAAAAACCCCACAGCTAAGTCAAGTGTCAGTGAACTTAAATACTTAGGAAGCTGAGATGTGAGTTCAAAGCCAACCCAAGAAGAAAAGTCTACAACATTCCATCTCCAATTAACTGGCAAAAAGCTGGGCTGGAAGCACAGATCAGTGGTAGTGTCAGTTGTGAGTAAAAAGCCAAGTAAGAGTGTGATGTTCTTAAATCAAGCCCCAGTACCAGCATGTACACACACACACACACACACACACACACACACACACACACACACTCACTCACTCACTCACTCACTCACTCACTCACTCAGAACTGGCAAATATAAAATCAAAAAGCAGATTAGCTGGTCAGGGGCTGGTAGTTGTGAGAACTGCAAATGATTTTAAGTTTCCTACTGCAGTGATGAAAATATTCTAAAATTACATGGTTGCAATGGATACACAAAACTGATTATACTAAACCCACACACTTGCATGGCTTAAAAAAACAAGTGTTGCCTGGAACTTGTGGCTCATGCCGGTAAACCTAGCAATTCAGGAGACTGAGGATCTCAGTTTAAAGCCAGCCCAGGCAGGAAAGTCTGTAAGATTCTTATCTCCAATAAACCACTAGAAAACCAGAAGTGGCACTGTGGGTCATGTGGTAGAGCGCTTGCCTTGAGCTGAAGAGGGACAGTGCCCAGGTACCCCACAACTGACCAAAACAAAACAAAACAAAACAAACTAGCCAAGGTAGGAAAATCCATGATACTATAATCTCCAATTAACCACTAAAAAAAAAAAAGGCTGGCTGGTGGCTTATACCTGTAATCCTAGCAACTCAGGAGGCTAAGATATGAGGATCATGGTTCAAAGCCAGCCGGGGCTCTGGAACAGTGGCCCTGAGTTCTAGCCCCAGGACAAAAAAAAAAAAAGTGCTGCAAGTGGTGCTGTGGCTTAAGCGATTACAGACACTTTAGCCTTGAGTGAAAAAATTCAAGGACAGTGCCCAGGCCCTGAGTTCACCCAGGACTGACTGACACAGGAAGTGGGGGGAGGGAAAGATCAAGTGTTATTATATTTAAATTAACTCCATAAAGCTGCCATTAAAAAAAATCCACTTGAAGTCAAGGTACCAATGGCTCACACCTATAATTCTAGGAAATTTGAGGATCACAGTTCAAAGTCAGCCGGGGCCAGGAAAGTCCAAGAGACACTTATCTCCAATTAACCACCAGAAAACTGGAAGTGGTGCTGTGTCTCAAGTGGTAGAGTGCTAACCTTGAGATGAAATGCTGAGGGATAGCTCACAAGCCCAGATTTCAAGCCCCATGACCGAAAAAAAAAAAAATCCATTTGAAAATGTTTTAAATACTACTTAACATAAAGAACCTAAGTCTTAAAGATAAACGGTGACCTATATTTACAGTACTCACTAAATATTGCCTAACAAAAGTCTCCAAGGACATATTTTTCCGTTTGCATAAAGACAATCAAGTTTCCTCTTTTATGAACTACCCGGAGGCCCTATCACTCAAGAATAATTCAATCCTTTGTATAGCATGGAGGGCATAGGCACAACTTGTAGACAGCTCTGGATTGGACCAATATGGTGAACACTTGCATCTGTTGCAGCTCCCAACAGGTTAAGACCACAACACTCACCTCCAGTTCTTCACTGTCTTTGGGCTTCTCCTCAGAGGTCTGTTTAACAAAGTCAGGTATGAGGATTTCCAGCGTGGCTCGAGCTACAAAAGAGAAAAAGCCTAAAGTGAGGGCTCAAGTGAAGCCTTCTTCCCGGGGCTTGCGCTGAATAGGAAGACAGATGTGCTGCAGAATGAGCTGCATGTTGCTCTTATACCCACAGCTCAAAGGAGTGGGCAATGGCCCAGGGGCAGTGGCAGCACTTTCCAGGCACAATCAGAAGAGGACAAAAGAAAAATCACATCATGAGAAAGAGGAACCATAAGACAAGTCACAGGAAATTTCACAGGCCATATTGAACTTACATATGTGAAATCCTAGTAGCTAATGAGGGAGGAGCTCAAATCTGTATTTTTTAGCAATCATGTTGGTGTGAAAAAAAATAGCTTGGCACAATCTAGACCCCACAGAGAAGCCTGAGAATAGGCATTCAGACTAGGACATACAGGCCATGACTATGTGAGCACGGAGAGGTGGCCAGATGTGAGATGTTATGGCAAGTGTGTGCAAGACATAGTATGAGGATATATTCAAGTAGATGCTAGGCACTGCTGTGAGGAAAGAGTACACACACATCTAGGGCTGGCTCAGTCTGACCCAGCAGAGATAGCAAGCTATCCCAATAAAATAACAAATAAAAAAAGACTTTCTAGAGCTGATGTTTAGAGAGTAGCTGGTTGAAGTCTGGACAGAGGAAGTCAGAACATGGGCAGAAGTCAATGACCCAGAACAACCCAGCCCCAGGACATTTCCACCCCCCCCCCCGCCAAGTCCTATTCTGCAGATTATCTGTTTGAAACCTAACACCCAAATTATTAAATTGAAAAACTCAGGCACAATCTCTCTTAAATAGATGGCAGGGCTGGGGTGTAGCTCAGCCGTAGAGCACTTGCCTAGCATACAAGAGACTCTGGGTTCAAAACCCAGCACCTCAAAAATAAGTAAATAAGTAAGTAAATATTTATAAAATAGCAAGCTTTCCTGGTAACTAGAGTGGAGTGTGCAAGCTCAGGACAACCATGCAAAAGGACAGACAGTAAGCACAATGCAGAAAGGCTTCCCACTGTCCTCAGTATTTGCCATTAAAAGCAAGTAGCACAGAGGGATACTGATTGCCAAGACCATGTTCTCACTGCTCTGGAGACCCAATGAAACTGTAAGAAAACTGACATGATTTTTGCTCTGCATAGAGCAGACCTACTCTGGGAAGCAACAGGTCAATGGGGAAAATCTCTAACAGACCTGACAGTGCATGGACCAGGGATATACCCAATACCACTCCGCAAAGTATTCCACTCCTCAGAAGAGCCTAACTAATGCTGATGCTGAGATAGAAGGCTTTGGTGAAAGAATGCCAACTACCTTACAGCTACACATGAAAACTGCAAGGACATTGTCCAAAAGCACAGTGAGTCTAAACTACAAAACACCAACTTCCTTAGAGATAAGTGCTCTTGTATGCAATGAGTTATGTCCTAATTTAGTTGGAAGAACTCAGCAATTATCCTCATGAATGTCAAAAACACTTGAGATGGTGACAGCATATCAATCCACCTCTTCTCTATTCTAGCATGTTCACATTTTGATCAGTTTAAAAATAAACCTTGCTGGGCGCTAGCAGCCCACACCTGAATCCTGACTACTCAGGAGGCTGAGATCTAAGGATCGTGGAACAAATCCAACCTGGGATAAAAGACAGTAAGACTCTTATCTCTAATCACCAAAAAGCCTAAAGTGGAACTGTGGGTCAAGTGGTAGAGCACTAGCTCTGGGCATAAAGGTCCAGGGATATGGGCTGGGAAGGTGGCTCAGTGGTAGAGCACTTGCCTTGCATGCCTGAGGCCCTGGGGGTTCGATTCCTCAGCACCACATAAGCAAAAAGAAAAAGCCGGAAGTGGCGCTGTGGCTCAAATGGTAGAGCACTAGCCTTGAGCTGAAGAGCTGAGGGACAGCGCCCAGGCCCAGAGTTCAGGCCCCACAACCGGACACAATAAATAAATAAATAATAAATAAATAAAAGTCCAGGGACAGCACCCAGGTCCTGAGTTCAAGCCCCAAGAACATCACCAAAAAAAACAAAAATAAAACCACACATATACACACACATACCTGCCACCACTGTATACATAGCACAGCAGCACAGCAGGCTGAGTACACTTGAATCTAGGAATAGCTAAGGCAAGGACAGGAGACACTGACCCTATTACTCAGAAGAAAAGTTCTACTCTAAAGTCTCATTCAGGACTTTACTCTCTTGACTTGGGTCTTTTCCAATAAGCCCATAATTTCTTTGTTTGGCAGGGTCTCATGCTTGTTAGGCAGTACTCTACTGCTAAGCTATACCTCCAGCCCTTTTTTGCATTGGTTATTTTTGAGATACGTCTGTCATTTTCCCTTGGCCCAGGTGTGGATTGACATTTGCCTGTTCTTTAGATGTGGGTGACAGGCACATGCACCATGTCCAGCTTCTTCCACTGAGATGGAATTTCACAGACTTTTTTTTTTTTTTTTACAGGACTAGCTTAAACTACAAACCTCAGGATCTCAGCCCACCAAGTAGCTAGAAACAAAAAGTCTGTTTTGTTTTACTAGTGCTAGGGATCAAACTCAGAGCCCTTCTCAGTGTTCTACCACTAAGTTACATCCCCAGCCCCTTGGCTGAGACAAAAGTCTCATTATATTGCCCAGCCTTGTCTCAAACACAAAATCTTTCCTCAGCCTCCTGACTGCTAATATTTCAATCACCACACACAGCTAAGAATGCAACTTTAAATCAAAGTAGATGATTACATAAATAAAATGGATGTGTCCCACCCATACCCTCCAAACTGCCGCCACTGCTCAACCCCTCTTTAACAAAGAGGCAAGGCAGACTTGGCAGGCAGCTTGTGTCTCTGAGACACCCAAGCAAGCCACATTACCAGCTTTATTCTTCGCAAGTTTTTTGCTGCTTGCAGTTCCAGATCCGTAAGTCACACCATCAATGGTCACCGAGGCACCAAAAGGCTCACTTGGATTCTCTTAAAATTAAAATTGCTTGTTTTAAAACACACTTGCCAAGACATTAAAAGCGTGCACACACAGTCTGCCCACACTGGCAGATGCCCCTGCAGAAAGAATGTCTATGCTTTTCTATAAAGACTGGAAGCTCCCTGAAGTGTGGAGACAGGGCTAAGGATGGTCAGCAATGAAAGGCACACCTGGGAAATCTGAGGGAAATGGGGATCACGGGTGAGTGGGCCAGAGGAGAAGAAACTGGAGGCAAAACCTGCCCAGGACAGGGACATGGTCTCCAAAAGACAACACAGGACTGTTGGGAGCTTGGAAGGACAGGATAAAATGAACCAGATAAATAACATCCAAAAGGGTAGGTGGGTGACCACAGGCTTTGGTTCTCAAGGTAGACAAACTGTCACTCACAAAGTTGTAACAAGGTTGCAATGGAAGATAGCTAGAAGGAGTATGAACAGATCCAAGACACTTCCATTCACCTGGGGGAGACCAGGAAAGGACTCAATGCACAGCAAGGAGGCCTTCCTCACAAGTATGCCATTGATAACACACAGAAGCCAGCAAGGGACAAGAAAAGCAGAAGGGAGACAGGACAGGGGACAAACTCTAAGGAGCAAGCTGAGCTATTTGCCCTTGGATGAGACATATCTCCACGAAAACAAACTACTATCTGCAATACATTTCTCTTTGCCCTTCCCTTGTACTTCTATCCAGTTCAATAGAGCTAACAGTTCCCAACCCCAGCCCAGACAAAAGTGATTCTTACAACCAAAAATAGGAAGACTGAACTTACCACATTCAAAGAAGTTATAAACAGGGCGGACCTTGAGGACACGCTGCATGTACTCGTGCAGGATACAGACCTCCGATTTCCCATTGGGATTAATAACAAACTCTGTGACAAGAAGAACCATCTCAGAAAATGCATGAAAAGCTCCAACAAGCTAGCACTTGAGAACTTGACCCATTCACATTACCAAGTCATTCATTGGAGCTGACCACTGTGAATGTGGCAAGCCTATTCCTAGGATAAATATAAGCTTTGAATAAGTACAAGTCACTCACTTACATATCCTAAGCACACCAAATTAAAAAATCAGCCTGCTGATGTTGGCACTTACAAGCCCAACTCACCTTTCTTTGTGGGTGCATCCTGCACAGATAAGGTGATGAGCTTTTGGTTGGCTGGCAGAATGGGCCTCTCTGATTCAGCCTGCTTCCGCTTCATCTCACGGTTGAACTGTCGCCGCTCAGCCCAAGTCCTGAATTTTTTAACAGTTACTTGCTCAAAATCAAAACGCTTTTCCAGGTAGTTTCGAAATTCCTCCAGATCTGTCCAACATGCACCAGAAACCCAAATTATCAAACTTGCAACGTAAGACTCATGTTTCTTCAACCAGGTGTCTAAGACAGTAACATCCTCATCAAAGAGGTCCAGTCCACATGCGTTTTCCTTTCCCTGTCCCTTTTAAAGGGTAAAGGGGGAACAGGGATAGAAAAATTAAGTCCTTTCACTACCAGCTTAAATTATTCTGACATGATCTTCATGAATGAATGTTTGGTTCTTTTACCTTATCTGGAAGAAGAATTAAAAAAAAATGTTGTGAGGGTTTAGGGGGAGGGAAACTTGATACCTGATGCTTGACACATGCTTATAACCCAGTATAAGAGGCAGGAGGATCTTGAGTTTGAGAACAGCCCAGGATAGAGAGAACTCATCTCAAAACACCAAATCAAACAACAACAAAAAAACCCATATCACCTTTAGGCTCTTCTCCCTGAAATAAAACAAGCACCTGAGGAATGGGAGCATAGCTCAGTAGTAAAGTACTTGCTGAGCATGTATGAGGTTCTAGGTTTGATTCCCACCCCACCCCCCAAAAAAATCCTGACACTTGCCAATGGCACATGAATGCCAACAGCAGCTGTTCACCTCTCTAGCTGACATTTCTACAATCAGAAATACACTTAGTAATTGGCCCCAGCCTCCTTAGGGCCTTTGTGCTTATCATACTTCTCCCCTCACTACTCTACACTCCTAGACAATAACTTTTTACCCTTCACGGCTCTTCCAGGACACCTCACATTGAATATTTATGCAACAAAAAGTCAAGCATAACTCATAAAAACAGAAAGTCCTCTTTGATACTGATCTAGCAGGAAGGCTGAAAATAGATCTGCCACCACCAAAGATCTAAGACTTGAAAGGATGGGACACAACTAAGCTACAAGAGAGGAAAGAGAAAACTGAGAAACACTAACACATATCCAAAAGGCAACTGCAGGATTCAAGAGGAAATTGCCCAGTACTCAAAAGGCTGAAGGAGAATCACAAATTCATAACTAACGTGGGTTACAAAGTGAGACCTTGTTTCAAAAAGCCAAAAGGTGACAGAGGGAACTGTTCATAGGCTAGGGGAAGTTCCTTAGGGCTGGGTCCAGGGACTGACAGTTCATTCTGAGCTTATCAGGAAAAACAATACTCGTGGGCACAAAGGAAGAACATGCAACAACCAAAAAAGACCAGGTACCACTGCTGTCACCATCTCCATGGCAGCTTCAACAATGCAGGCTCTATAAAGTTCCACATGCTGACCATAAGCAGGTTCTCAAAAGAGCAAGGCAACAGACCTCTCCAGCCATGTGGAAGTGCAACCAGGCTTAGGTCTGTCTCCCCCCTACACAGGCACAATGAGGAACTGGAACTACAGCTCCTGACAGAAGGAGTGAGACCTCAGAGTAAATATGAAATGCAGCTGGATCCTAGGAAGCAAAGAAGAAATCTTTCTGGGAAAACTTACCAACAGATTCATCTTTGCACACTTCAACTTTGGCTTTTACTTGTCCCAGGGCTCCAGGGGCTGCCTCGGCTCCCAGAGCATCTTTCTCATCTGGGGGCCCTGAGTCCACACCCACAGAATCTGTTTCTTCAAGGGGGAACTCCAACTCTGCTGATCGAACCAGGGGCTTGACAGGAGATACTTCTTCACTGGGGGTAAGCTCACTGCTTTGTTCTCGTTCTTCATTGTCCTTCATTTTTTTATAATGTAGACATGGGATGCTACTCAGAGGAGGATCGTGTTTCTGTGGATAGCAATATTGCAAGAGGGGTTACAAAGATGACCTTGAATCTAAAAAACCTGATGTCTTACATCAATCTCCACATGGCTATAGTGCAACAAGGGCAGCCTTGCATGCTTCAGTGTTAGAACTCAGAAGCCTAAGTTCATTACTGATGCCTTCCCTACCCGTATGCTTCCTGTTCCCAAGAAGTAGGGTCTGGACCAAGTGACCACCCGAGATTCTCTGTGCAGGTACACAGGAACTCCAGAATTATGGAAGGTCATGATCCACCCATCAGGCAACGGCTCTGTAGGGGGGCGGCCACGACCTGCATAGAAGAAAGAACATGTTGCAATTGGACAGTCACTATGTATTTTCTGCATATCAAACTGCTCCATGTTGGCTGTACTTACAAAGTGGGAACTCATACACGTAAAATAAGTTCAAAAAACTTGGAATAAGAACGTACAAATTTCTACCACATCTAGAAAGTATTGTGAACACTGAATACTAGCTACTCAGAAGGCTGAGATCTGAGGATCAAGGTTTGAAGCCAGCCCAGGTAAGAAAGTCCTTGTGACTCACACACACAAAAAAAAGTAGAGCTGACTGACTATGGTTCAAGTGGTAGTGAACCAGCCTTAAATGAAAATGCCAACGGGTAAACCCTTGAGTTCAAGTTCTAGTACTCCACTTTTTTTTTTTTTTTTGTCAGCCGTGGGGCTTGAACTCTGGGCCTGGGCGCTGTCCCTCAGCTCTTCAGCTCAAGGCTAGTGCTCTACCACTTGAGCTACAGCGCCACTTCCGGTTTTCTGGTGGTTTATTGAAGATAGGAGTCTCACGGTCTCTCCTGCCCGGGCTGGCTTTGAACCACGATCCTCAGATCTCAGCCTCCTGAGTAGCTAGGATTACAGGCGTGAGCCACCAGCGCCCGGCTAGTACTCCACTTTCTATATGCACCAAAAGGAGGATATAGATATATGGCTCAAGTAATATAGTATCTAGCTGGCATGAAGCAAAATTCGACTCTCAACCCCTCTCATACCCAAAAAGACAATACTACCAAAGTTAGACACCAGTGCCCCAGGCCTATAACCCTAGCTACTCAGGAGGCTGAAATCTAAGGACTGAGGTTCAAAGACAGCAAGGGCAGAAAAGTCAGAGACTATCTCCAACCAACAAAAGCCACACCAGAAGTGTGGCTCAAATGGTAGGGTATCAGCCAGGAGCATAAAAAGTAAAGTGAGAACTTGAATCTCTGAGTTCAAGCTTCAGTACCAATTTTTAAAAAGCCAGCCATACCTGTTATACTACCTACTCAGGAGGCTGAAATCTGAGGATTGCAGTTCAAAGCCAGCCTGAGCAGGAAAGGCCATGAAACTCAATTAACCGTGAAAGTCCATGAGAATGAGGGAGGGAACAAGGGAGGGGGAAGGCAGAAACAGAGCTGTGGCTCAAGTGGTTGAGCACTAGTCTTAAGCACAAAAGCTCGGGGACAGTGCGCCCAGACCCTGAGTTCAAGTCCCAGGACCAGTGTGCACACACGCACACGCACGCACACACACACACACACCCCAGGCCCTGAGTTCAAGTCCCAGGACCAGTGCGCGTGCGCGCACACACACACACAGACACACACCAGGCACCAGTGGCTCATGCCTGTAATCCTAGTTACTCAGGAGGCTGAGCTCTGAGGATCATCGTTGGAGCCAGCCTGGGTACACAAATCCTAATTAACCAGCAAAATGTCAGAAGTGGAGACATGGCTCAAGTGGTAGATTGCCAGCCTTAAGCAAAAAATCGAAGCAAGAGCATGGACTCAATGCAAATCCTACAAAATTAAGAAAACTAAGTGAAGGGTTCAGAAGGTTGGGGAAGAATGATGGAAGGGATGACATTGATCAAGGTACATTGCATTATTCATAAACTGCTTTGTAAAAGTACTTAAAAATAATAAAAAATTTACTTTAAAAATAATAAAGAGCCGGGCATTGGTGGCTCACACCTGTAATCTTAGCTGCTTAGGAGGCTGAGATCTGAGGGACGAGGTTCAAAGCCAGCCTGGGCAGAAAAGTCTGTGAGGCTCTTATCTCCAGTGAACCACTAGAAAATTGGAGGTGGCACTGTGGCTCAAGTGGTAGAGAGCTCACCTTGAGCTGAAAAGCTGAGGGACAGCACCCAGGCTCAGAGTTCAGGCCCCACGACCCACAAAAATAAATAAAAATAAATAAATAAAAATAAAGAGTGTGAAGCTCTGAGTTCGAGTCCTAGTGTCAAGATACACATACACACACTCATACCATTACCAGGATGTGTAACAACTAGTTTGATTCCTAGCAACAAAGTAGGAAATGGGGGGAGGGGAGGAGAAATCCTTGTTCAAATTTTAAAATTTCTAGTCAGACACCAATGGCTCATGCATATAATCCTAGCTACTCAGGAGGCTGAGATCTAAGGATCACAATTCAAAGCCAGCCAAGGCAGGAAAGTCCATCAGTCTCTTATCTCCAATAAAGTATTGCCGGAAGTGGTGCTATGACTCAAGTGGTAGAGCACTTACCTTGAGCACACAGCAGCTCAGGAACAGAGCCAAGGCCCTGCATTCAAGCTCCAGAACAGGCACAAAAAAAATTTTTTTTTATATTTAAACTTCTAGCCGGTGCCAGTGTCTCACAACTGTAATCCTAGCTACTCAGGAGGCTGAGATCTGAGGATCCTGGTTCAAAGCCAGTGGGCAGGAAAGTCCATGAGACTCTTATCTCCAATTAACCACCAGAAAATCAGAAGTGGTGCTGTGGCTCAAGTGGTAGAGTGCTAGCCTTGAGCTGAAGAACTCAGAGACAGTGCCCAGGCCCAGAGTTCAAGCCCCACGACCGACCAAAAAAAAAAGGAAATTAAAGTTCTATACTGGTTTTAAGACACTATTCAAAACTCCTTTCTTTGCTTTATAGGCAGTCATAAAACCATCAGACTTTCTTTTCACTCACCACTAGCAGACGTGATTGCCAGAAAAAGCACAACATTAAATACAACATTCTTACAGGTATTAGGAACAATTTAAAAATCAAGAAACTAGGAGAAAGCAAGTAAAACCTCAAACACTAAACACAATGAAAAAAGTGACAATAGCTCTCAGGAAAAGATAATGGTACCTCTGGGCCAGGTCCTTGTCCAACAGTCCTGACCCTGGGATTGGCATCCTGCCCAGGCAGCTGCTATCATAGAGCATGACCTAGGAAGGAGTCAGAAGTGTACCTCATGGATGCTCTCACAGAGGTTAGGGCCAGGTGAAACCACCTCAGCACAAGCCTTCTGGTAACTCAGGAGAGGAAGCAAATAAGATGTAAAGCCAAACACAACATAGGACATAGGCTCATCCCAGCAACTCATCTGTAAAAGGCAGCCCTGATATCTATCTATAAGAGCGATCCACAGCTGTGGGTACAAGGCCTTGTACTAGGCCTTGTACCCACAGCTGTGGGCAAGATAGGTCTATTACTACCAGGTGGTTTGCACAGGATGGACATGGGTTTGTCTGCTCAGAAAAATTGTTAAAACAACAGGAAGAGTACAAAGCCAATTTTCCACAGGCACGAGGTGAATCCCTTACCCCTTTTCTTGTCTCCCCATGAAGCTGCAGTGAGAGGTTCATCCCCTCTGCAACTGTCCAGACACTACTCATCTATCACCAATACAGGCAGTAACATGTACCACCTGACACTACTGACCCTCCACAGCCCAAGAAGGGCAACTGCAACTGCATTCTTCATACTTCCCTTTCTACCGAGTCCCACCTCACCACCTTTTGTACCTAGGCTCTCAGTACAAGGCCTTACCCAAGAGCCTGAATGACATACATCTCTTCAGCTCCTCTACTGATCCTGACAACCAACCATATTGGAGTAATCATAGGTGCCAGGCAAGTACAGACAAAAACCAACACCAACTCTTCATTTGCTTCAGAATGAACAGAGCCCTGTAACACAACTCTGAGTGTCTCCCAATTGCTCTCCCACTGTTGCCAAATCCAAGTGCCAAATCTCCTTTGCATTTCCAAAATGCCTCCATTTCTATCCAAGGAGTTTCTGCCTTGCCCCTAAATTGCATATGCCATGCTACTCAGAAGCCATACTTTTCTCAACAACACTGGTCTGATCCTAGCAGCTTCCTAAATCACTGTGAACAAAATAAAAACCAGGACTGCAGGACGGGCACTGGTGGCTTACATCTGTATCATATCTACTCAGAAGGCTAAGATCTGAGGATCACACTTTAAGGCCAACACAAGTAGAAAAGTCAGTGTGGCTCTTAGATATCCAATTAGAAGCCAAAAGCAGAGCTATGGCTCAAGTGGTAGAGCACTAGCCTTGAGCAAAAAAGCTCAAGGACAGATAGCACCCAGGTCCTGAGTTTATGCCCCAGGACTAACACCAGAAACAAAACAAAAAAAAACAAAAACAAAAAACTAGACTGCAACCATCACTGGCCAACTCACTAAACATTTACCTCTTAGACCCCATACCTCCTCTGGCTCTGGATGCTATCTCTTGGCATGCAATATTTCCCATTTGGTGATCCTCTGCAGAATGCCTGTGGTTTCCACAGCAGTTACTAGGATTTACACTGGGGTGTTTGAGTAAGTTCTTGTGTCCAACATTCTTTCATCTGTCATGACTATTCTGTATTTAAATATGAATCCCTACCCAGACCGCAGCATAAGACCAGAGCTTTCCAAATGTCTTTTCAAAGGAAATTACTTCTGTGTAAGTGTGTGTGCACTTGCACACATGCTGGTACTGAGGCTTGAACTCAGAGCCTAGATGCTGTCCCTTAGCTATTTTGCTCAAGGCTGGTGCTCTACCACTCGAGCCAAAGCACTATTTCCAGCTTTTTGGTGGTTAATGGGAGATACGAGTCTCATGGACTTTCCTGCCTGGGCCTGGCTTCAAACTAAGATCTTCAGATCTAAGTCCCCTGAGCAGTTCGGATTATAGGCATTAGCCATAGGCACCCAGCCTGAAACTGCCCTTCTGATGCCTGAAAACACTCACCACTTTGTGACCACTGACTTACTTTTAAGCACTGTTTTAATCTTAGTCATCATTGGCTGCACGCTTGTCTCTCCATCAGATGGATGGTCACTGTCTCCTCCATATTTTTCTTCTATTCGCCTCTTTTTGGGAGCACAAAGGCCTTCTTCCAATAGAGCATCCACATCATTGTCAAAGTCATCCTGCAAAATAAGGTGTTCAGATCCCACAGCTCCCAGGGTCCATGTTCCTGCACCAAGTGCAAGCTTAACAACATTTGAGGACAGAGAGAAATCACTCAAGGGGGCCTAGGTATGCCCTGGTGGTAGGTGATCATCTGAAAGATAAACAGGGTGAAATGACAAGTGAAATCAACACGCTTGGTCCAGGTGCACACCTTGCCAAGGAGGCTTCTCAGAAGCACCTGTTCACTCAAGTTAAAAAGAGAATATAAGGCTGCATGTTAGCCAAACCTTTCATTAAGAAACATTAAAAATGTGGACTTTGGACATTGTTCTCTTCTCCACATTTATTATTCAAAAAGAAGCAATTCAAATTGCTTCTTGTTTTGTTTTTAAATTTCCCAACTTTCAGCCACTCCCAAACCTCTTTGGTTTTTACTCAGAGCCCTCAAGAAGAGGGTTCACCAACATACCTCATAGGAGAAATTCAAGGCCTCTTCATCCACTCTTTCTCTTTGAACGATTGCTTTAGCCGTGAACCCGCCTGCTCCTTCTTCATCTAGCTCCAAATTGTCAGTAAAATCTTCTAACTCATCGAGCACTGCATACTCCACTCTCTTTTCCTGATCCAGCTCATTCTCCTCATCCTTCTTATCTGCACTCTCACCCCCTATGCCTACCCCATTACCAATACTCCCGCCAAAGGGACAAGCATGCACGTCCCCACTGACAGGACTAAGGAGCAGGCCACATTCGGCCCGAGTGCTGCGCTCTATTCCTGTGTACAGCACCTTCCTGTCCTTACTCCTGCAGCTCTCAGTAAAACTCACACTAATCTTTACATCTTTAAGCAACTTAAGGTCAGGGGAGAATTTCCGGACCGCAGGTGCGTGCCGGGCGGTGCGTGGGCTGTGGCCACTACAGTTCGGGTCTATGAGGAGGCGGCCCTTAGAGAAGGATCCTTTGGAGAGAAGAGAAGTTCCGTAGAAGTTGAATGGGTCCTCAGCAGGGGGTTCGGACTGTCCATCACCACCAGAGCCAACGTCCATTACCTCTGCATCACTGGACGTTTGCAGGGGAGGTGGTGGAGACTGTTCACGGGGCAGCACTTGGAAGGGGCAAGCTCTGTTCTCCTTCATCGCTTCTCCTGCGGGCTCACGCGGGAGAGGAGAGGGACTCTCATATGTCTCCATATTAAAAGCAGTTAAGACTATTTTAAAAGACCAGTTTTAAAACACCTTACATAAATCTACAGCTAACATGCACAAGTCCGTCGAGACCCGGTGCCGTCCTGCCCACGCTGTGCACACTGGCGGCTTAGTCAAGCTGGCCACATTGCTCTTTTCATTAATGTAGACAGCTTTTAGAACCACTGCCTCAATTATTGGAAATCACAATGCACTCAGCTTAAAAGACCGACGACTAAGTGAGTCTGTCTTCATGCCAAAGTGGCACCTTTCTTCTTCCACCTGAAAAGAAATTTAAAAATATCGTCACGAAATGACAGAGAATCTACTCCCCTGGTACCAAGAGTCAAGTGCCAGTAACAGTGCAGTACAGAGCTAAATTAACACTGCCTGTGAGAGTACCTTTAAGATATTCAAATAAATTAATTTTATTTGTTTTCCTTCAGAACTGAAATTAGACTTTAAATCCTAACCTAAATGTTTTACTAACTATTCAGTTTCAAACTACTTTAAAAGCACAAAAATATGATTTTAAGGCTGAAAAAAAGATTTCTTTTGAAAAACACAAAAAACTATAAACTTCACTGCAGCACTCCCCTAACTCAGCCTATGAGGTAAGGAAGCACTGGTGGGAGGCTGAACACCAATAAAGGGAGTGGCTTTGCTCAAGCCATCTGGGCAACATCAATCTACTCACCTGCAAGAGCTGGGATAGTCAGAGGTCAAACACAAAACCCTCAGCTCAATTTTGCAGCACTAGGGACCTTAGAGGTATGGCCAGGCACTCTGCTATCCAAAGGACCCCTCTCCTGAGCCCACAACATGGCATACTGACATGACAGCTGAGGTCAACAGAGGTGACAGCACAGTTCTGCTCCCAATAGAGAAAAAGGGGTGGCCATTGAAAAGGGTGCCTGCCAGGATTTAGAAGGGAGCACAGGAGAAAGCTGGAGCCAAGGCACAAAGAATCTAGGGTACCATTTAGCTCTAGACTGGGGAAAATAATGAGCCACCAAGGGTACAGCAATGTTCATCAAAAAGGAAACTGGCACAGCTGTGATGGTACCCAGGTGACTGTACCCAGGTGTTGGGGCAGTCCACTAGGACAGGGTATGAAAATGGCTCTGGAGACATCAAGAGTAGTGTCATAAAACTGACCACACTTGTTGACCCAAGTGGAAAGCAGACAGAAGAGGAAGCTGGAAAGGAGGCAGGCTTCTCCCCTGGAGGGACATAAACACTCCAGTATCCAAGTGGAAGGAAGCCTGGAGAGGCAGAATGATGGGAAGTTCCCAGCAGACCTCTGATAGGTGCTAACGCCACAACTCTGGAGTCCTAATTGGTGTAGAGATCTGGTACAGCAGATTACATTGACAAGGAGGAAAACACCAAAACCACAGGAGGCAAGTAACCAGAGATGGAAGGATGCAACACTAGGAAGCTTCACTATAGAGGAAGCAAAAAAAAAAAAAAAAATTAAAAGGAGGGGGATGATATAAGGCAGAGAAGGCAGATCAGAGGAAATGGTCAAAAAACTCAGAGGTCCTTAGGAAGAGGGTCTGTCAGTAGCAGAAACACATGCATGCACACACACACACACACACACACATGCACACTCTCATATAATGCACAGAAACACACACATGCACATGCCATGCACACAGATGCAAATAATACACAGGCATGGCCATTCCCATGGATAATAGCTTGGATGCATGTTCGTAACTCCTAAGAATCCAGAAAGGAGAGCAGACATCACCTGTTTAAGAAGTTTACAGTGAAGCAATGGAATGTGGTGGTTATAATTTGAAGAGGTCACAAAACAAAAGCCAGAGACTTGTTTAGGTTAAATTAACTCACATATTCTCACAGCCTGGATACAGCCAGAGAGGGCAATAACCTTCTATCACTCTTTCCTAGATGCTAGAAATATTCTAACATTTCTAAATTCAAAGGGAACAGATACCTCCCCCTGAAGGTTTGTCAAAGGTGCTTAAGCCTGAGAAAGCACAGCATAGAAATAAGTGACTGAGGGGCTGGGAAGGTGGCTCAGTGGTAGAGTGCTTGCCTTGCATGCATGAGGCGCTGGGTTTGATTCCTCAGCACTACCTAAGCAGAAAAAGCCAGAAGTGGCTCTGTGGCTCAAGTGGTAGAGTGATAGCCTTGAGCTGAAGAACTCAGGGACAACACCCAGGCCCAGAGTTCAGGCCCCCATGACCAACAAAAAAAAAAGACCTAAGTGACTGAGAAGAGCAGCAATTTCTAAAACGGCTGTAGCCAGGTAGATACAAAGCACATCAAAGCAGTAAGATCAACCTCCTGACAACCAAGAAAGACCACTGCATGCTTAGTGCTATATACCCTGAATAAGACTAGGACAGGATGCCTCAGAATCTGGCAGGTGTGCAAATGTCTAGACAATATTTTTTTTTATTCTAGGGCAGAAAAAGCTAAAGAATACTTAAGGTGGGAATTGGAAACAAAACACTGCTGTAAGATGGGGAAGCCTACTGCGTGCTAAAAGCTAAGAAACAGCCAGTGCAAAACCACAAACCAAACATGTAAAGGTGCTAAAGGGTGCTTTAAAAGAGGCAAGCAGCATAGGTAGGGTGCAGGATCCCTAAGAATGGAACAGGAAAGTTGTCTAATCCTGGGGCTCGACAGTGGGGCTATTTTATTCCTGTATACAGCTTTCTCAATTTATTCAACAAGCATTTGTTCACTACCTTTATACAGCACATACACCACGTTAGGGGTTGAACACAAGAGCTCAAGTTTTAGTGGAGAAGACCAAGTAACAACTAAGAAAAAGTATTTACTGTATCACATGCTGAGAAGTGAGAAGTGTTAAAGCTAAGACAAAGAAGCAAAAAGGTTGGGGGAGAGGGGCGGGAGATTTCAAAAGGGTTGGAGTAAGCCTTATAGCCAGTGTCTACGCTTCAAGACAAAGGAGCCAGCTCAGTAGCAGAGATAGGAGAGTACATGCTAGGTGACACCTACAGGAAAAGCCAAGGACCTAGGGAAGAGGGGTGGAATAGCCAGCCAAGTTAGAGTAGTATACTGAGGAGAAGTGAAAGCAGGCCCAGTTAGGAAGATTTGGGCTTTTCAGGCAGGCCACAGGCTGAAGGGTCCCAATACTGACATCACATGATACAAGGATAGCAGTGGTAGATAATCCTCACGCAGACCCTGCTCTAAATACCCTTGGCACTGTAACTCACCCAATTCTCACAGAGCACTGTGAGAGAAAGGGTAAGCACAGAAAGGTTAAATGACTAGCTCAAGGTCATACAGGAAGTGACACACCCGCTTTGTCACCCAAACAAGATGGCCTGTGTCTGTACCAACTCAGTTTTATACTACCTCACAATTTAAAGAATTACTGGTTTAAAAAGAAAATCACTATATAAGTGAAGGCAAAAAGTGTTAAAATGCTCACCAGATAATTTAGAGCAGGATGTTAAGTTGGAAGTGCTGAGAAATAGTCTGTTGAAAACAGAAAGTGAGCTAACAGAGCTTCCTTGGAATGTATGCATGATGACTTAAGAAAGGAATCAATAGACTTTAGCAAGTTGTGATGGTGCATGCCTATAATCCAGCTACTTAGGAGGCAGAAACTGGAGAATTAGTTCCAAGTCAGTCCAGGAAAAAGGTAATGGGACCCTGTCTCAAAAATGAGCCTGGGGGCTGGGAAGGTGGCTCAGTGGTAGAGCGCTTGCCTTGCATGC